TATATTTAAACAGACAAATAGATGGAGAAACAGAAAAGAGGGGAAAAGAGATGAGATGGAAGAAAGTGAATTGCCCAAAAGCAACAACTATAAAACATAGAAAGTGAACATGGCAGGTCGACAAGGACAAGAGGGTAGATAATTAGACAAGAAACACAGGCTTCGCTCCAACTTCAATCAGCTACCTGCCTCATCCGATTTTCTCTCCACGCTCGAGCCCGTATTCTCTTTAATTAAATATAAGCGTCGAGCCTATCTCTGTTTCTCAAACCTCGCCCGCCTTCTTCCCCCGCATGCATCCTTCGATGCTTTCGCATTGAGTTCCAGATATACATATCTATGTTTATGTAATAAGGGCGCACTTGTCCTAAAACATATATTGCAATTAACATTATTGCTGATTAATAATTTTCATTACATATTACAAATTATTCTTAACACTGTAATATCTGACTCACAAAAAATGCTCATTAAATATCATATTTTATTAATTACTTTTAATATATAAGCTCTCTTTCTCGTTATCTATTATACATATCTTTCTTTTCTAATATACATATAATTTTTCACATCGCACGTTATGTGTATCGTATATAGACTTTCAGTCGAGTCTCGATGAAAAAATTGAATTATCTTTAATTAAAACGCTTTCAAATATCTTGATACATTTTATTAATTAATAACAGTTTAATATTAATATTACATTTTAGATATATGCGCTATATGTGCTAGTTTCCGTATTGTAATAATATGTCGTTATATATAATATTAGTATAATAATAATATCGTAATTAAAATAATATTTATCTTTGCTGCCATTATCTTTTTTAACTACTGATTATCAGCAAATGTCTTTGAAGTATTTATTTGTAATGTTGCAGTACGATTTAGAGTTTCGTGTCCTTTTTGAATCACCGGCGATTCGGTAGTAATTATCCTGAAAGCATGGTGCGAAGTTTCGAATTCTCGATTAGCATCGCCACTTGCCAACCTCTCCGAGTTGAATACTCGTTCATTCTCGCGTTTTATTATTATCGAGCTCGACTCTATGAAATCGTTATTTGCCTTATCAATAAATGTTTCATTAGGATTAATTTGCTTCGCGTAGTTTATAACAAAGTCATTATTAAAATCAGGTTTTGGAATATCTATTAAAGAACTGTCCGAACTTTGTAATAAAATCGATGAATTTATCTTTGAGATATTTTTAGTATTAATGGAGTACGGCCTGACACGTGCTTTTCGCCGTTCCCTGTTGAAATCAAAATTAATTGGCAACTGGCCACGCGATATCCTAGTTTGATTTCTATTTGCATAATAATTATTAACGTCCGGCTTTACATGTTGGTAATCATAATTGTTTTTATGTTGTTGATATTTTTCTATTTCATCATTATCTTTTACATAAAGAGGCGATAACAGCGTTTCATTAAGGCGCAATGTCTCGAAATTAGCATTTGTGTGATTTACATCGCGATTATGCCAGGGAAATCCAGCAACATCGTCCATGGAGGAAGCTATTCGCTGTTCACTTACATTGTTCGGTGACTTGAGGAAACTCTCGATTGATTGCCTGTGCGTATTCAAGGAGTCGAAAACTCGCCGGAATATCCGCTGATAAGTTTGCTTCTCGTGCTTAGGAATTGTATTATTCAAACGTATTGCTTCGCCCTCCACGAAATGCGACGATATCGAATGATTCGGAGCGAGCAAATTTGCGAAATGCGAGGTGTTTATCGGCGGATGATCCGCCGGCACCACGTGAATCAAATGCTTTTGACCCTGTTGATCGGTTCCCAGGATCAACTTGGGCGCCAATTGATTCGCTTCTTTCGCGGTTTTCTCCACGGGCCGAGGTCGATGTCTCATATTTCTAAATCGATGCTTCTGTTCGAGCGGTTTGTCGGTGCTCGCGTTCCCCTGAATGTGATTCTCTTCTTGCGAGATCGAATCCCGTTCCGTCAACTGCCAGAGATCCTTCGATCGATTATGCTGTTGGGAAAAACTGTTTTCGAGATTAGGTAGAGAATTTTCTGTGGCGTTGTCATGCTGCGTACTGGTGACCAAGATTGAGCTCCGTTCCGTCCCGGATATTACGTAATTATAGTTATTGGGCCAGAAGTTGCTCGTGCGGAAGTGATCGTTCATTTGTGAGATTATAGTCAGCTGGAAATCATGTCGCAACGGGTCGGAATCTGATGGGCGCCTGGCGCTCTGCAGGATCCACTTGAATAAGGGATTTCCCTGTGTTGCACATGGATCGCAATCGACGCATCCGTCCTCGCACAGCATCCAATGACCATTGAGCAGACGATAGACATTACCGTGCGATAGAACACCGTCGCTCGAATACGTCGCAGCGATCGGACCACCGTAGAACGAAGCGTCCAACGGGCGTTTCTGGATCGCCTTGATATCAAACGATGCCGGGATGATCGACTTGAGAATAATATCATGGAGGACGATCTCTTGAGTTGATGCGAGATACCACGGAAGTGACGGTATCGTGGGATTGTATCGCTGATGTTGCTCCGCGTGTCTGAAGAGATCGCCATGAGTCCGAGTAAACAGAAGAAGCTGAAAGGGGACTCAAATTACATCATCGTCGAATATTTACCTGGTGTGTATTTACAGTACAGCGCATCGGAGTTTATTCGGACTAGACTATAACGACATTTTCGGAACTGCCCTCAGGGCTGTGGTGGTGAATATAAAATTATCGTTCGATGCATTTTATATGCGCGTGTTCCGTGCCGAAACGATCGGGAAACAATCATGGAATGCAATCGAATCGGATCGGATTCCGCGCGAAAATATGTAAATAGATCATTCGCTGAAATTTTTAACCCGGGCGATATGTCGACAAACTCCGCGACCCTAATTATAAGAAGACGGAAACCGAAATTAATTCTGTCGCCGACCGAGATAGAGACAAGATTTAAAAAGTCAGATATAAAAGATATTTTAAAACTGATCGTTTGCACTCACCGTCATCACCGCGTAGCTCCCCTTTAACGTATACATCATTTCGTAGCCGCGGCCGCCACCGCACTGACCGCACGCGGAAAAATCGCGAAAGAAGACAGAAAGAGGCTGTCTCTCACCTGACGGATGAGTAAATCATACGGACGGTGTAACACCGCCGTGCTATCGAATGTCGAGGCGTTCGACTAGATATCGGCCAGAATGCTGACATTACTCACAGCTAAACATTCGCCCGGTGATCAAACAACGTAACTCAAACACCGCCAATGTCGGCTTTATCATGGGTAATTCGAGAACGCAGCTATATAGATGTACCACCACTGAATCATTCATACTTGAAACGTTACTCGAATCTCTCCAGATTTTCTTATGATGATGGAATTTAAAGAAGAAACATTTTCTTAAAAGATTTCTTTCGAGAAATTCCGAAATTTAATTTAATTATTTGAAGAATATTTTCGTAAAATAGATTGTAAAAAGCTGAAAAATTCTTTAATTAAGGAAATTAGTTAAAATTATAAAGATATAATTTTACTGGTTTTCAAATTTTTAACCTTCAGAAAATATGACTTATTCGTATTATCTCTAATTCATGTATAATCCGGTTAGGAAATACGGAGATTTTAATTCATCCCCGGTTTCACGATACAGGAGAATTCATCATCGTCGCGGAATGGATATGCAAGCGATATAAATACACGATCGAGCTGACGTCGATCGTATCTGTCCAACGGAAACGCTCGAGAATATCATATCCGGAGACTCGATAAAATATATATGGTTTGATGTAATCTGCGGTAGTGCAGATAGCCCGATTCTCCATTTCATGTTTTGGTCTACCGGCCACGTGCAGTCAGATAAACCGAACTTATTTCTAGAGAAATGACGCGCAGCGTATTACTGTTTCATTAACACACCACATTCATGATATTTGATTTAACAATAGAAGAGATTGAAAACTACTACACTGCAAATTGCAGTGCAGAATCTTTATGATCTATATGGCACTTTTGATGTATAACACATAAATGTTATTAAGGAAAATATTTTTTCTATTATTAAAGTGCAATATGCACGAGAATTCAAAGCTATTATATATATATAAAATATTCCAAGGTACATCAAAATTAATGATTACGATATGAAAAACGACTATGTAAATACTAATTTCTTAAACGACATAATGGAAGAATAATAATATTTAATTACTACTAAGCGTATCATTTTATTCATAATAAAAATTAATAATGAAGTAATTTCTTATCAAGACTTTTTTAATGACATGTTCTATAATACAAATACCTTCCAAAGGGGCACGCTACTTGTCGGGCATATTCGTGGCGCCAACTATGAATATAGAGGCGAAACTTTATTTCCTCAATCTGCTGGATAAGGGATGAATGTGGGAACAAAAGGCAATTGATTTTCAAAATTGACAATTTAGTCAACATTTTTCATAATAACCGTACTTATATTTGAAAAGTCGAGCATAATTATGTTCCTTACGTGATTCCTGAGAAATTAATTATTCGTGTAGAAAAATGGCTGCGGAAGCACCCACAGTGGCTAACGTTGTCAGCCTGCAAATTTCTCTTCCTCAAATGCTCGATCTTGCTCTCGGAACGCCGGAGGTAAAGCAACGAGACACACAGATCATGCATGCGATACATAAAACTGACTGACAGAGTCATTGATTTTAGGTTGGCGTGGTTAACTTTAACATTCTTCATAATTTCCTCCACGTCTTGTTGCAACAAATAAATTTACAAGCTACCAAAGTGGAATACCGCGACGAAAACGCGGATCGTATTAAAGTAAGAAAATTAATACAAGAAATAATTGAATAAAAAAGTGATACAAAAAATTCTTTTTCTCCCGTATATACATATTTACGCAAAGACTCTTATAGACGATGGTCCAGTCCTTGAAACTGGGACCTACTCTTTACCTTCAGGAATACAACATTACCAATGGTACTGGTAAAGTATCGCAACGAATTCGAGAAGATGCGGACGTTACAATATTTACAGAAGGTACAAATCTTTGGCTTTCCGCGTTTTATATTCTCATATATTTATTTAATCTATCTTAAATTGCAATACGTATAATAAAGCAGATGTAACTTGACTCAGATATCCAACCCTCTGCGGAGGAAGATTTAAAAGTGACGAAAGGGGTAAAGCAAGAAATAGGTCCTGAAAAGGAAAGCGAACCTCAGACGGTCATTTTCGTGGAACCTGTCGTAAATGGTTCTCCTCCTACAGCTTTAGCATTTAAGGAACTCCAACAATCTGTGCGTAGGAAAAATTATTTTTGAACTAAACATTACTATATATGTAGATATGATAGAATTGAAAGATATAATTAAATTAATATAAATCAACACATAGGTGAAACAGTTACAACAGCAGTTTCAAGCTCTGGAGGACTTATCTACGACTCCGGAAATAGTCGAACGTTTAAATGGCAGAAACGGAAGTCCTGTCGCAGATGTGTGGCAATTCATAAATATCAATAAGAGATTAGACGCGAGCGAACAAGGTATCGAGAAGGTATACTACTTGCTAATCTCGTAAACTTTTCCCCGATAATATTTATGCGAATATTTTAATAACAGAAAAAAAACACAAATAAAAAGAGAGTAAAAATACTTACTTAAAACGTTATTATAGCTCACGACAATGGTAGAAGATGTGATTAAAGGCGATATGGGTGTAATTGCAACAGCAGACATGTCGTTGATTAACACAAGATTGGGTGAACTCGAAGAGAAAGTTGCAAAGATGGAGCTGAAGCTCACCGATTTGCAAACGATTACCAATATTTTACTTGAAGATATATCGCCAACTGCTGATAATCATATAACAGCAGCAGCAGAAACCGCAGAAACAGCAACGGAAGCCACAGAAGCCGCAGCGGCAGCAGAGATCGTAACCGATAAAGACACCGTATCATCCCCTGTAAAAGAAGAAACGGCAAAGGAAATTTCTAAACCAGCAGCTGACAAAATTACGACAGTCAGCAAAATTGCTGCTCGATTGACAATTCCGGGTAACAAGCGCCTAACAATTTTATATAAAATTTATTTTAGTGTAAAAGATATGCTTATTTGATTTATAAATTTTTAATATAGTATCTATTGTGCAGTTTTTTAAATGTGTACCAAAAATAGTTTACTAAATAAAAAATGTATTTAGATGACATATCAGAAATACGCCAAGATGTCGCTACATTGAAAGTGGATGTAGCTAAGATACAACAGGAGATGCAAGATCTTAACGAAAAAATTGCACGTGCGTCTATTAATAACTTTTCATTTTGTTTTTTAATTATTTATTTTATTTTATTATTTATATATTATCTTTGAAACTATATATATAGAAAGCGAGGTACTCACAAAGACAATGGTTGTTGATGCGTCAACGGTGCAAGAAAAGCCTGCTGTTACAGAAATAGTTAAAGATAAAGAGAGAGTAGTTGAAGAGAGTGATGCTGCGAAATTGGAGCAGTGCCTAGAAGCTGTGAAAAACGTGGAGACGACGCATAGCAAAATCATGAACGATATTACTCAACGCGTGATTGCATTGGAGAAAGAAATTGAGCATTTGTCAGAAAAAGTGAACGTTATGCAAGCAACGGATAAAACAGATGACATTGATATTGATATTAATGAACTTGTTACAAAAATACAAGGAATAGAAACGGATATGGAAAGAATCGGAGAAACGATAGACAAACTGTTCGATGATAAAGAGAAAAAAGAAACGCGCATTAATGTACGAGCTTCTAGTAAAAATCAATTAATTAAAATATTATTTATTTTTACATTAAACACCAATCAACTCTAAATTAATTTGTAAAAATTGCTTCTTCGTATTTTATATAATTTATTCAAGTGATTGTATTTATGATGATTGCTTTTACGCTAATAGACATTGCTGGAACAAATAGAACTTCTAAAAACTGTTAAAGCAGACAAGGAAGATCTCGAAGATGCTTTGGCTGATAAAGCGGACACTCAAACCGTTAACAGAAAAGTATAAAGAAATATCACAAACTTGCTGATTCTTATTTTTTATACAGATTAAAATATCACAAAAATTGCTGTAGGTATCACACGATCAATTCGACGCTGCCTGTGACGATCTCTCGCGTGGTCTCGAAGAGGCGATTGATAAATTGACTAAGCAAGAATCGATTTGGCAACAAGCGCTTGACGAAGTGCAGAATGAAATTGCGGCCAAGGTGGATAAAATCGAGATGACGCCGTTGAAGGATTTCATGAATAAGAAATTGAAGTCGCTTCAAGAAAAGCTGAAAATCATGGCCGAGGCGAGGCGCGAGATCGAGGCGGCTGGAACAAAGAAGCTGCTCAGGTGAATATTTTAGGCTCGCAGATAAAATTTTAACGCGTCCGCGATGTCGATCTCTTCTTCTTCGTTTAGAGATGTTCAGTGTATATCCTGCGACAAGGACGTCGTGATGAAAACAGAGGAAACCGGCAGATTTCGTGCCGAACCGTTGCCTTGTACCGTCAGTATGAAGCCTTATCTCACATATCAGTTGGATCAAGTTAGGAAGCAACAGAGAAAATTGCCTCACAGCAGAAATATGATCCAATTTGAGGCGGCAATGCAGGAGGAGGCCAAGAAAATAAAAGCAGCAAAGGAAGAGATGCTCGCAAGAACACCCAGGTAACTAATAGCATTTCATTCGATCTTGAAATCTCGAAAAAATATTACGTGCTACATATCAAAAAATAAATAATATAAACTAAAAATATAACATATAAACTAAAAATAGAAACTAAAAAATAAATAATATAAATTAGTGTTGATGAATATATTATAATTTAAAATATTGAGATATTTTTTTTTTTTAATTTTTTTATACGAATGTCCTCGTTACAACTGTAAATTTAATGAATCTTAAAACTTTTACGTAGCATATTATGAGAAATCTTATTATCTTATTATCTTAAATTTTATATGTTTAATGTATTCAGAGATCATTTCTGCAACCGATATTGCGGCGGGAGTCACACAGTCATGACTCCTCATCAAAAGGTTATGCGGGTAGAACATTTTTTAACCCAATGGGGACCCCAGACAGTACAATTAACAGACGGTTTAATAAAGGGGAAAGACGGTAAGATGTATCGTAGCCGATTATTGCCGGATAAGCTGGACGTCTGCGGACCGGCTTGCTGGGAAAGTCAAATTAGCGAGGAAACTCGATCCTCGGTGAGTTTTAATATAGGAAATCTCATCATAAGCAATTCAAGTATTTATTTCGCCCGTGACATGTATATTATTCCACCCTCATAGGTTTCTCAGGAACATGCGCCACTTACTTCGACGTCGGTTCGTAGGTCTTCGCCAATTCAACGAAATAACACTGGAAATGGTGAGCGAATAATACAATATTTTGCATTCAGAGAATCAGTCATTATTTGGCAGGAGAACTGTCGTATAATTAAATAAAATCAAATGTCAAAAATGTACTTATATATATATATATATATAA